CCCCCCTCCCCGTAGGCCACATCCCTCCCCTCCACGCCCCCTCCGTATGTCATTTTTTTCGGAGAAGAGTGATGACTCGCGGACAGTATTGAATGGGGTCTGGTTGACGTGCGTGGGACTGGCCTGTGTGTTTTAGCACGAGGAAACCGTTACCCCTCATACCTGCGTCCCCTCTCTCCTGGACATTTCCGGGGAAGAAATCTCTTCTGTCAGTGTGTTTTTACACACACATACATACACACGCACACACACGGATTTTCGTACACGGACTTTCAAATTAGTAGCCCGAGTGTTGTTAATGTTTTTTCTGTCGGTTGTCGTCGGTACGCGACTTGGTTTGGTTGTTTTATTTTTCTTCTAAAATTAGAACAATTGAATACAACGTATGAATCAGTGTTACTTTGTAGTTTTCTTGAACAAAAACTACACGCGGACTCTCAATTTAGAACAGGTGTTATCAATTGTTATTTCTTCGATTTTCACACACAAGTTGCTAAACAATAACGAGTGTTTTACTGGAATAGTATTCTGAGTGTGTTTCAAGAGGTTGCCCCAGTAGGAGTGATATTATATTAGGCCTTAGTATTGCTCTATACGTTTATGCCGCGCAAAGTTCACGACAGACAACGTGTGATAATTGTTAAATTAATCAAACACGCAAGACTTGAGACCCACGATTCAGATGTGATTGCAGTCGTTGTTAGGGTTAATGTGTTTTTGATTGACTTCTTATGTTGTCAGTCCCGAGCCCAAACTCTCTCAAGAAGGCCCAGTGTTCAGTTGACGGGCGACTATCGGGAATACTGTAATTTTCCTTGAATGCTTATGGTAAGTAAAAACGAACTATACATGAAGTACTTACTGTAGCGTTTTCATTGTCCTCAACTCGCCGAAAAAGCTGTTCACTAAATGTTTCGACATGTACGGTCTGCCCTTATCTGACTTACTAAAATGTTTTGTTTCATTTTTGCTTCCATTCTTTTCGGAAGTTCATGGTAATGTTATTTTAGCGATGGCAGAGTGAGGCCGAGGAGATAAAGTTAAAGTTGGGCAGATACCGAGGAGAGTAAGATTTGTAATGAAAATTTAACTACAACAATGGCAAAATATCAATGACAATGATGATGGTGGTGATGAATATGCTGCTGCTACTGCTGCTGCTGCTGCT